AGGCTTACTCAAACCATCGTGTCATCATCTCATTAATGTGATTGAGTATAACAAGCCACTGAATCATGACCAATGTCATAAACTAATTCCAGTCATCTTAATGTGTGAGTTCTCGAGGACAAGTTTTAAAGGTTTAGGCCCAACTAGGTAATGACTCACGACTAATTCATATTCACTAGATCATAAAAGGATGTCATGGAGATATCAAGTGCGCCTAAGTCGCAAATTTAACTAGTAAGTGCTAATCCCCTGCACCTTCAAGTCAATTTTATTCTCCATATACTTTACTGCATCTAGTTGAAAGATGACGATACTCCTCTTGCCATATCTATTTCTCGCTTCATTGTTACTTGCAATTAATTCTACTATCCACAAGAAGGAGAGAATAAGCTATCAATTATGACAGCTCCTAAAGTAACTTAAGCGCGAATTAGGCTAAAGAGTCTAATTCAACACAATGCTCTCACGAGTCATGCGTCAATTCTTAGAGTCATAACAACCTTGCCTTGACCTTTTCATTATTATGCTGCAACGTTTGCGCTTAGTGGTAAACGTTATTAAAAAACGTTAGCCTAGCTAAGGAATCATACAAAGAAGCCCCTCCTCATGTCTCACACTCAAGTGTGGAAACAGTAAGTGTCCAGACTTAGACAAGTTGGCAATGCTAATAGATTTTGCAGACACTTGGCGCTAATCTCTTCACTTAGTGTTAATAGATTTTTCTGCTTTTAAGTGCTAATCTTTTCACATAGTGTTAATAAAACGCACACTTTTATAGTGCATGAAATTTTGCTCCATCCAACTCCCAATAATTGGGTAGAGAGCAAAACACTACTCATACTGCCTACTCGTCTTACACTTAATGACTAATTCATTTAAGCTCGCAAAGACCATTAGAGCTATAAGAGGTGGTGAAAATATTTTTACAGAGAGGTCTAAACTTTGATCAAAGAAAGAGTTTATTTTTTTATCACCCAAAACTTCGCCAAAGCTAAAACTTGAAGTTTCTTGCTGAGATTTCAACAACATACTCCACAACTTGAGGGTGATCAAAAGAAAGTTTGTAAATCAAAAAATTCATCATTTTCTTGAAAGGTGAAACTTCGCAAACTAATACTTCCTTTGTATCTTTTTTATAACTGTTTTATTGCTTTAACGAGAAAACTGCACCACCCACATATCTGTTTTAATTTATTATTATTTTTATATAATTGTTTTATTGTTTTAATGGGAAGGCTGCACCATCCATATATCTGTTGTAATTTATTATTGTATATAAACTGTTTTTTATTGTGCCGAACAAGGCAACAAAACCAGGGCGACTTTGAGTTATGTTTCCTTACTTTGGCTCAATTAAGGTTTGACCTAAAGTCTCCAAGACTTTTGCTCATCTAAAGAATGGGATTACATTGTTCACATTTGAACATCTTTACTAAGTCTAGGTCAACCAATTAACTTCCATAAGCTAAGTCAATTTAGAGAGAAATTCGCATCGGGATTAATTTGATTAGCATAATATAATTTTGCCGCAAAAATCTAAATTGAATAGTGACAATATTACACAAGTCGCAAGATCGAAAATCTGCTATGCTCGTAATCATCTCTTGCGCCACAGGTGACAATTACCCAAAATTCAATTTAATTTATGCGCAAAATATTAATTTTCGGGAGTAAATCTACAAAGATTTCTCTCAACCGGACAACCTCCCACTAACTATGGCATGTTTAAAAGCATGATAAAAAATTCTAATTCCATACAATAGCATCATAATGTAGATTCACAATCAATACATGCAATGTTACATTTAATAACGGAATTAAAACAAAAAACAATTAATCATGCTATTCTAATCACAACATATTACAAACCCTAAAAAAAATAATATGTTGTATTTAATATTCAAATTATGCCATAACAGAAACTGTATTACTTCTGAAATTTTCTGAAATTTTTCTGAATTTTTTTGGAATTCTAAATAACTAATAAACACACATTAAATTAGAAATAAAAAATTTCAAAATCTGATAAACTGAAAAAATTATTCCAGTAAATAGAAAAACATTTCAGAAGTCTATAATAAAAAATTCAACCCTAGAAAATAATTTATGCAATACCAGAAGCATTTTGAAGCATAAATAATGAATTATAATCACAGGAAAAATACTTTTTGTTTTCATAAAATTTTCAAAATTTTACAAAAGATAGAAAATATAATTTTGAGTCTAACGGTACTAACCACGTTTAAAACAAAGCTATAACGAATTAATTATGACCATTTAACGTAATTCTGAATTTAAAAACAAAACAAACAGACCCTTACATCAGCAGCCAAGCTGGCGGAGGAAAAACAGCGCGACTCAGCGCACGCGGCTCGGCTCGCGGCTCAGCACGTAGAGAGCGTGTGTGGTGCGGAGGGCGCACTCGTGGAAAGCACAGAACAACGCGCGCATAGAGGTGCATGAGAGCGCGTGATGGCGCGTGGAGGCCTCCCACGGCGTCAGGTGGCGCGTGAGGCCCACGCTCCGCCTTCCAAGGTGTTTTCTAGTTCGATTTTTGTATAGCCGGACTCCATTTTTCACAATAAAAACATTTATGGCATTAAAAATAACATTTAATGAACATAAAAATGAAATGTATCACATTCTCAATCAATGAGAGTTGAAGTGCAAAAAAAACCGTGCACTTCATGTTCCTCCTCCATTAATTTTCATGCATATAATGTGTATATATTTATATAAAAAAAATACACATATTTTAATGCATAAAAAATAAGCATGAAAAATCATATAGGCTCTGATACCAATGTAAAACAAAATATTATATTACAGCGGGAAAAAATAATTCGGATCATACCTTAATGACACAACATCGTGGGTAAATCACGTGCTTCCAAAATCTGATCAGTCAACGAACCCAGCAGTGGAGTGATACTACAAAATGAGTATCACCCACACAAGTCACAGTGCAAAATGGCTTGATCGTTATTTTCTGGGAGAGAGTCAGAGAGAGAGTCTGGGGAAAAAAAGTTATGGGTAAAAACCACATAACGTATATCTTTAGATTAACCATATAATCTGATATATAACCAATATCTATCTATCCATCTATCCATATCTATTGATATGATAGATATAGATATCCTGAATGGTTATCCAAATAAGTTTTGAATTCAAATTCAAACTTACATGGATAATGTTCAAAAGGTTCAGGTTCCAAAGGTTTTAAGGGTCATGCCACATGGGCGCCCAATTTCTAACAATATATATATATATATATACACATATTTGTTAATCATTTCATTTTTAGTTTATATTTATAAAAATTTAAAAACTGCCACAAAAGCTTATTTGATAATTTTTTTGATTTATAAATGGTTGTCTTAGTTTATAAATATGAGGAAAAAACGTCAATTGAAAAAATGAGTTTACGTTGGTTTTAAACAGAAATTAAAAAATTTGAATAACAAATTTTTTTTTCAATTAATTTTTTTTAATCAATTTTTTTCCCCAATTGTAATGTGTATGATCCCATTGTCATAAATAATAAAAAATAAATATAAATATTTTAAACATGAACAAACATATTTTTTAATTTATGTTTTTAAAATTTTTGAAACATTTATTTCAAACCAAACGCGTTTGTAGTTTATGCTTTTTTTAAAAATAAACAAAAAAAAATTTATAAATTTTTTATAAATATAAACAAAAAAAACATAAACGTTACCAAACACAAATATTTACAAAAAAAATAATATAAAAATGCATAATAAGAATACATATCGTACATACCCCCGACATTACCCAAAAAGAAATATATATTCATGCCAGATGAAGCCTTGTTCCTTGTATAAGTTGTTTCCAATGATGAAATCTTAGTGGATGGTTCTAAGTAGGGTTGGGAAAACATTCATCTCACTTGTCAAAATTTAATGGCCAAACTAATTCGTCATAGAATAGGTAGTTTTAATGATTCAAAAGAATGACAAATGAGAGGCCATTTGATTCAACCCAATCCGTTAATATCCTAAAAAAATGATGTTATGCTTTTTATTCTATGTGTGTTAAAAAAAGATTCTTTTATTTAGTAATTATATTTGCTATTTATGAAATATGAAAGTTGAGCATTTATTTTTTATAATATAAAATAAAGAATAAAAAATTTTGTGTCCAAAATAGTAAAGAATTACTAAAAAATAGTTTGAAAAAAATGCCTAAAATAGTAAAGTCTAACACCAAATCGATCCGCACCCACCCACCAACCTCTGTGTCCACTAACTAAACGAAAAAATGTGGATTGATTTTTCTAATCCGTCTAAGTTCGGATAGATGGTAAATGAAAATCTACCTGACTCAATCTGATCCGCTACCACCCTTGGTTCTAAGGTTGAGGCGATCAAACATGGTTTGATGTTCATATTTTGACAAATTGGCAGTTTTTTATTGGTTTTTCATTCCTCATTTTAGCATTATCATGTCATTTATCACTGATTGCATGAAAGGGGAGAATTTATATGGACAAAGGAAACAACTAAGGCCTTTCAATTGTGTAAGCAAAAGTTGGCCTATCTCACTTAATTTCTCGCATCATTTTAAGTTGCATTGTGATGTGTCCAAGGTTGGAATTGGAATTATCCTTAACGGAAATTCAAATTTTTATGTGAAAATTTACCTCCAAAATCACCATAAACTGGTTATAGATACAATATTTACCAATTGGAGGAGGCTTTATCTCCAGTCCGTTAATAGGAGTGGAGGGTGCAATTGGGGCCTGGGTCTATCTTAAGTTCATTTTGATAATTTGAATTATATTTTTTATAAGATTATTAAATAAATTATTCATGCAAAAAAATTATTAATCAATTATTGATATTCGCATGATCGGTTCATATTAATTTTTAAAAAATTGATGACATGTATAATTTTAAGCATAAACTATTATTTTTTGTAAGATAAATTTTATTCCATCATATAATTACTAATAATTAATTTTGAAAATGTGTAAAAATGTATGAGAGATACATTTGTATCAATGGTTGAGATCTTTCCTGATCAACATCTAACGGTTGTCTCTCAAACACTCCTCTCATTTCTACCCAAGTGTATCAAACACTCCTCTTCTTTTGTCTCTCACAGGTCTGCCTCCCACCTAACCCTTCTCCCTCTCTTCTTCTTGATTTCAAATGGGAGTCGAGTGTTCTCTAAATCCTTCTTGGTACCTTCACTCGCTTCGACTGAACTCATTCGATTCAAGTTTTTCAGAGCTCGAACTTCCTCATCCAACCCTTCTAGGGTTTTTCGAATGGCCACCGAGCCTCCTTCTTCATCCTCATCATCACCACCACACTCCGATTCATCCTCGGTCCCCGCTTCTCCTGCCATCGATTTTCTCTCTCTCTGTCACCGTCTCAAGGTATTCCTCATCCAACCCTTCTATGTATATATTCTATGTATATATGTATCGATTCTCTCTCGAATATCATTGCCTAAATTTGTGATTTTATTTTTTGGGTTTGGGGGTTTTTTGGGGCTTGATCAGACGACGAAGAGAAGGGATGTTGAGAATCCAGAGTCCATAGCCGATCGTATGTATCGAATGGGGTTGATGGCTCTCAAATAGGAATGCTGATTGATCTACATCAAGTTGGAATGATGCTAAGGTATAGTTACACAGTTTTCTCTACATCTACCCCCCGCATCCTTGGTGTTTGGTTCTGGTGATTTGTCTACTGATTTTTTTATTTTTTATTTGTTGTTTTTTTGTTAGCTGTTGGCCACATTGGGATTGTTTGGGTTATAAAATTGGCTTATTCTCACTGAAAAATTAATGATTTGTGTTTCCTCACTTTGTCATTACATATTGATTTGCATGTGGGTGTGATTTGCAGGAATTCGGAGAATCGGAAGTCGGCATCAGGTTCTCCAGAGAAGGAAGACAGGTACTACACCACGAGAGGGTCAGTGGCTGGGTTGGGGTTGGGGTTGGATGGAAAGGCCGGTGGTTCGATTATGATGGATGGAGGAGAGAGAGTTGGTGGTAGTGGCGGGGATGAAAACAGAGGAGAGATTGTTTGGCCGAAGCTGTATATAAGCCTTGTATGGAAGAAAAGGTAAGTCTCTGACTGAGTAAGAACTGAGTTTTGTTTGACTTTGGGGCTAAGTAAGTGGCTATCAAAAAGAAATGGAACCGTTGAATAAGAAAGTATTCGAATTATTTTCGGCTACAGGTAAATTAAGTTTGGAGGACCAAACTTCCTAAAGGGGGGAAGACTGTAATACCCCTGTTCCGTAATATGTTAATTGGTCCTTAACATGACGTGATTATGTATTTTGATATAATTTTGTGTTCCACTATGTGAAATATATGTGGTTTGAAGTTCTATCTGTTCACCGTAGGAATATCTGTTTGAATAATCAGCTTTGGAAATTTAATTGAGGGCCTTATCGGCCACAGAACCCGAAATCGATTACGCCATTGTGGTTGGCATAATTTTTAGAGCCTACGGTGAAATTTAATTGAAAATTGATTCTGGTCAATTTAAACTGATTGAAATGATAAATTAAGTACCCCATTATTTTATATTATTATATTGACTTAGTGGGACTTAATATATTTGAGCACTACACCTTATTTCTCTCCCTTGGCTTATTTTGGCTGATTCTTGAACTCAATTTGAGAGGGAGAGCCGACTATAGGGAGGGAGAAAGAGGGATTGTGCAACTTTGGTCTTGAAACTTGGAGATTGGAAGTCTAATTCAAGATTTGATCATAGATTGTGAGGATCAAGCTCCTAGGTGAGTGATTCTTGGATTATAATTGTAATTTTGTGCATGTCCAAGCTATCTTGGTGATCAAGAACAAGATTGTAATGAAGTTGAGTTGTGTTTGTTGAATTGAAGCTTAATATGTGCATGCATGTAAGAAATACTTTGAAATTTACATGTTTGAGCACAAATGTGTATAACCCATGTGAAATATTAAAGGAAACTCATGTCTTGATCACCATTTGTGTTATCTAAGTTGAGAATGTGGCTAATCCATCACATGCATGTACACATTGAGAAGATATGAGCTTTGAATGCATGAAAGGGTTACATTGGTAATGAGTTGGTGGAAAATGAGCCATGCATGTAAATAAATTATGAAATTGAGCTTCAATGTGTTGTAATTCTATGTTTGTACCATGTTAGTATATGATTATGTGAAGTTTGGGCCGAAATCATGCATTTAGAGCCTTTGAATGTTGAGATAAAGCTCAAGAACTCAATCTGGAAAAACCCATATTTTTTATGTCCGCTCGAGCGGGTTAAGTGACGCTCGAGCGAAGAAATCGAGCTCCCAGCATTTTCTGCAGACATGGTTCCCGCTCGAGCGTGGAAGTCGACGCTCGAGCGTGGGAGCTATTTTGACAGGCCTTCCACTCGAGCGCTCTACTTAACGCTCGAGCGTATTTTTCATGCAACCAGTACTTTTGCAGGCCTTGAGGGTCCGCTCGAGCGGGTAAATTGACGCTCGTGCGGGGACCCTAATTTCTGGAATTTTGTTCATGCGTTCTGTGTTTCGTTTTCCGTTCTCTTTCACTTGTAATCACTCTTAGGCGTATGTTAAACATTATAAATGAGTTAATGAGATAAAAATAAAACCTGAAGAGGAATATGTGAATTAAGGGACGGATTGAATTGTTAATGACCCTTTTGTGTGCATGGAATGTGTAGGGTCAAGCTCCAGGGCGAATCCACAAGCCGATCACTGTGAGTAATATCAATATTTGAATGCTTGCGAATGTCCAATTGTTTACTCCCTTTTAAGCTTTATGAATTGCTAATTGGGATTGTGGATGTAAGTCTGATATGATTGCATGAATGGACCAAAGGTCGTTTTGATGTGAATGAATGGACCAAAGGTCGTTTTGAAATGAATGAATGGACCAAAGGTCGTTTTGATGTGAATGAATGGACCAAAGGTAGTTTTGATGTAAATGAATGGACCAAAGGTCGTCCTGATATAAATGAATGGACCAAAGATCGTCCTGATGTAAATGAATGGACCAAAGGTCGTTTTGACACATGTGAGTGGGCCGAAGGCCGTTTTGACATGAATGAGTAGGCCGAAGGCCGTTTTGACATGAACGAGTGGGCCAAAGGCCGTTTTGACATAAATGAATTGGCCGAAGGCCATTTTGACAAAAATGAATGGGCCAAAGGCCGTTTCGACATAAGTGAATGGGCCGAAGGCCGTTTTTCCATGAATGGAAACCCAAATGGGCCAAAGGCCAGAATGTTGGAACTACAGTTACTTGATTTGCATTTCGTATAGTCTTATATATTTGCTAATTAGAAGTATGAATTGGGCCCAAGGCCCTTTGGAGCATGTTGTTCTACATATTGTGATGTAACTGTCATATTTGATATTATTCACTGGGCTATCGCTCACGCTCATTCATGTCTTTGTAGGTGAGCCAAGAGAAGTTCAAACGCAGCCCCAGTGAAGTCTGCCAGGAATAACATGAGTTTGGAGAGTCAGCCTTGTGTCTCACGCACGAGACTCAACCTTGCCATTCTGTTATGTATTTCCATTTTGTCTTGTTGGCAAGGATCTTGTGTATATCAGTATGTAATTGTGATATGGGTTGACTCAGTTTAGATGATCCTGTCTGTAATGAATTTTGTGAAACTGTATTTTTGACGTGGGTTATTAACATATCTGAGCATGGTTTGTTTGATGTGCATATAAGCACGGCTCTATGGACAAAGTTTTTAAATTTTTGCTTCCGTTTGGCCCCTTTACTCTGACAAGTTACGTCTGTATCGGTCTGAGGCCGTAGGTAATCACAGGATTACTGGCCGGTCATGTCCTTAACCCATAGGGGCGGGTTTGGGTCGTGACACTGCTCGCTCCCCTTCTCTTTTTGTCTCGAGTCGATCACTTCGCTCACTCTTTTCAAACTACAAGTAAAGACCACTCTATTTAAATAGATTAGACGTGAGTACCTATTTAAATGAGTATACCATCTGCTCCCTACGTTGTTGTCGCCGCCGTATGTAAGCTCCATGTGCATGGAGTTCATTGTTTAATAATTGTGAATTTGTGAATTTGTGAAATTTTATTACCAATTGTGAATTTGTGAAATTTTATAATAATTATAGAAATACAAATTTCTATATAATAAGTCACAAAGGTTTTTGAATTTCGAGCTCAGCCATTGAGTTATTTGAATGATATATATATATTGAGTTATTGAGTTCTTAACTGCTGGGTTCTTGACTATAGTATTTAATTGCTGGGTTCAATAGAGTTATTGAAAACATGACTTTAGTATTCTTCTTGAATTTTTGGTAGACTATCTGAGATCATGAATATTTGAGATCATCCCACAAGTAAAATTGGTAGACTATCTCTTCAAATCAAACTTATAGCATAAAACCTGTTTGAGCTGCTTCCAGAAGCATCTCTTCTCGGGTCATCCTCTTCTCTTCTCCTTTCTTTTTCCTTTTAATTGGCTGCCAAAAGAAAATTTATTCAGTTCAAGCTACTTAACTGCACATCCTAAAACTTGCAATAGCTATCCAGTTGAATAGTCATCGGAAATTTTCATGATTAGCATTTTATTCACATGGAAGAATACCAAGAGTTATTACAAATTAGCATTTCATGACTAGCATTTTCATGAATAGGAATCAACCAATTCATAACATTTATCATTAAAAATTATCATTTCATTCACATGGAGGAATACCAAGAGTTTCTTCTTGAATTTTTCTTCTTCGGGTAATTGTTCTTCTTCTTGAATTTTTTTTTTTCCTCTCTCAGCTTTTGCTTTCATCAGAGCTTTTGCCTTCACCACTTTGGCTGCTCAGCTATTCACTTCGGCTGCTTGACATCCTGCTCGGCTGCTCGGTTAGTTTATTACTTTGGTTCTTATTGTTTTTCTTTTGTTATTTCTTTGGTAACGTTTGGCTTTTGCTTTGACATTGAGCCAACTGATATATTGCTTTGCTATTGAGTAAAACTAAAGAAGAATTCTGCATATGATTTCGACAAGAATTCTGCATATGAATTCTGCAGAATTTTGGCTGATCAATCCCTTGGTCTCAAGTAGAACGGCTATTTGTCCCCAAGGGATAAACGTTGTTGTAAACTATGTCAAGTTGTAATTCAAATATTGTTTTGCTATGTTTTTTTGTCTTCACTAATAGAATTCAAGTGTTTTCAGCAACAATTTCAATCAAAACACATCTATTGCATTAAGCTCTATATTCGTTACATAATCTGCGATCAAGTTGGTTATTGACTTTGAATTTTGTATTCATTACATAATATGCATCTAAGTTGGTTGGTCTGAAGCTCACTTTGAATGTCCATATCATTCTTCTACACAAGTCAGAATATACAATGACAAAAGCAATTATAGCCTTTTTTTTAGGAGGCAATTGTAATGGGGACAAAGGCGGCTTACCTACTAGACCACTTAATTCATTGTCTAAGGCTTAATTCATATGATTTCTACAGAATTCTGCATATGATTTCGACATGGTTTCAGTTTTAATTTTGATTTTGAAATGGATTTGAATGATTTCGGTTTTGATTTTGAAATGGGTTTGTATGATTTCATTTTTGATTTTGAAATAAGTTTTCGAATCTCTGTATTTTGGTATTTATGTATTTCTATGTATTTCTATTTATGTATTTTGATTTCGAATTTGTATGATTTCGGTTTGTATGTTTGCGGCTTTATATTTTGGTTTTGAAATAGGTTTCTAGATAAATACCAATCACCAGGAAGCAAGGCTAATCTTTTGGTCAGTTTACCAAGGCTAATCTTTTTTAATATACTCTAGGAAGCAACTGAATTAGCTATATACATACCAATCACCTTTCCAGATTATTTCTAGATAAATCATAATTCCAATATTCAAAAATCATCCCATAAGAATGTCTACTCCTACAGTATTAACTCAATTACTCATCCCTAGCAAACTCTAAGATCCTGAAAATAATAATAATAATAATAATAATAATAATAATTTGAATCATCAACTAAGAAAATATTAGGTGTATTATATAAAAAGATTTTGTATATACAAATTGTGCATAAATTCAATTTTAAAAAATTTGGTTTGTTTGTTTACTTAATTTGTGTGCGTGTGTGTGTTTAAAAAAAAACGGTGTTCCTATTTTTGTGTTTATGTGTTTATAATTTATTATGTTTTCGTATAATTTATTATGTGTTCGTATTTTGGTTTGTTTGTTTGTTTGCACTATCACAAATGTTCGCAATTTTTTAGACTTAACCAACAAGAAAGAGGTCGGTAATTTTGTGTTCGTAATTTATTGCACTGTAGATCGGTAGATCGGTCGACGCAACCAACAAGAAAGAGGTCGGTATCCTCTTCAAAATTTTCCTCCCTTTTCTACGCATATCTAAGGTTTCTCTCTTTGTTTTATGTGTGTCTCTTTGTGCCTTTAGAGATCGGTATCTAAGGTTTCTTTGTTTTATGTTCTGTAAAATGCCTCAAAATTTTTATTTGGGTTTTCGTTGGGTGTCTAATTTTTTATGTGATTTGTTTCTCATTCGGGTTTGATTGTGTGATTTATATGATTTATGTGATTTATGTGATTTATATTATGTGATTTTTATGTGATTTATATTATGTGAACCTATTGTGTGATTTCTGGTAAAATTTTATGTGAACCTATATTATGTGAACCTATTATGTGATTTCTAATTTACAAAATGGGTTCAGATTATCAAGTAAATTAAATAAGGAATGTTGAAAAAAATTTGATTGTGGAGTGAATTATTTTGTTGTTCCAAATTTTATACCGTTGGGTTTAGTGATTGTGGAGTGGATTTGATTTTATCTATAATTAAATTTTATTGTTCTTTAATTCTGTATTTGTGAAAGGAGATTATCTGAAGTACGGACCGAGCATGGCAGAACTGAGCCTGGGTGTTCTTATAGATATTATTGATGAGGAATGGATGCAAGACAGTCTTTCTGATGATGGTAAATGGGTTATAGATATTCTTATTAACTTTATTCTTCATTTTTTCGTTTCCCTGTTTTCAAATTTACAAGCATACAATCTTTCAGTCTGTCTGCATGATTTTTTGAATGAAAATTTTGTTGAAATTGCATTTACTTCATTGTTACAGATCTTGCATTACCACCAGTGATGATTTCGCGAACTAACGACACTGAAGAGTCAAGTAATGTCTTCCAACTACATAGTAACTTTCATTTGTCTGATTGCATTCGGAAATTTGTGGGTTTCCATTATTTTGCTGTTTAGGGTAGTATGCTTTAGTGCTTGATCATCAAATGTATAATGTTATTGATCAATTGAAGGTTTTGATTGCACAATATGATTCTAACCCGAAGATGGGTTGGAAGATTCTATGGGTTATTGAGAAATGCTAGAGTCCCACAATTTATCCACAATGACATGTGGCATTGTGTTGTTTTGGTTCTCTGGTATGGGCTGGCTGGTTGATGAAGTCCTTATCTTTAAGAGTTGTAAATGCTAACAAGATAGTAAAAAAAGGAAAGGAAGGTGGAATGGTTAATTTGGTTACATTGAGGGAACCAAAATCTGTAATGAAAATACACCAAGGTGCTAGGGAATTACTCCACGCACTATCTCATTATTTACTTGCGTATGCAACAGGCCTCAATACAATGGTAAGTCCCAACAAAATAGGAAAATTCCTTACAAGTAGTTGACAAACTTAAATGAGTTACAAATCAGGAGATGAGATAACCTACCTGAATAATTAAAAATTAGGAAATAATAACTAAAAATCTAAACAGAAATTGTGTAGACCTCCTAATAAAAAGAGAATGTATCAACTCCTCCCCCTTAAAATTTGTTTGTTATTTCTCGGCTGATTTGATTTCCGTCATGTGAATGGTCATGAGTTGATTTAGAAATCAAATGGGCTTTGCTTTTTTTTTTTTTCACAATTAATCTATATAATAATCATGGAAAATGATACCAAATAGGTTCAGAATCCTAAGTGATTTTGAAAAAAATATGTGATTTTGTGGACAGAATATATTGTTTCTGTCCATACCTCATCATTTTTTTCCTTATGTATTTTGATTTCAGTTTCACAATTTGAAACTACAGCATCTGTTTGAGTCTCATCTTTATGTTCATTTCATCTCATCTCAACTGTCTCTCTCAATTACAATTTGTTATTTTGATTTTAAAATTTTCAATACTTATGTTTCTTGTGCAATTTGTTTCTCATTTATATTGCCTCAATTAAAATATGTCTCTTCACCCCTCTATATTTTGTGTGTGTCTTCATGCATACACCATGTTCGATAAAATGGCTCAATTAAAATAGTTTATATAATTCTAAACTTATGAATACCATGCTAGCTGCTTATTTTAAAATAGTTTATATAGTTTATTAAAATAGTTTATATACCATGCTAGCTGCTTATATAATTCTACTTGAGAACATATAATCTTATGAAAATCCCTCAAAACAATTTTTTTTTTATTTTATGAAAATCCATCAAAACATTTTTTTTTAATTTTTCTTTTTTGGCTTTTTTTGTTTTATGTCTCTTTGTATGCATTCACTATGTTCTGTAAAATGCCTCACATAGGTCTCTGAAATATTTTTCTAAAATGGGTCTCCAAAATGCCTCAAAATTTTTATTTGGGTTTTCGTTAGGTGTCTAATTTTTTATGTGATTTGTTTCTCATTTATATTTGATTGTGTTTCTCATTTATATTATGTGATTTGTTTCTCATTTGTATTGCCTCAATTAAAATATGTCTCTTCACCCCTCTATATTTTGTGCGTGTCTTCATGCATATACCATGTTCGGTAAAATGGCTCAATTAAAATAGTTTATATAATTCTAAGCTTATGAACACCATGCTAGCGGCTTATATAATTCTACTTGCGAACATATAATCTTATGAAAATCCATTAAAACATTTTTTTTTCTTTTTTGGCTTTTTTTGTTTTATGTGTGTCTCTTTGTATGCATTCACTATGTTCTGTAAAATGCCTCACATAGGTCTCTGAAATATTTTTCTAAAATGGGTCTCCAAAATGCCTCAAAATTTTTATTTGGGTTTTCGTTGGGTGTCTAATTTTTTATGTGATTTGTTTCTCATTCGGGTTTGATTGTATTTCTCATTCATATTATGTGATTTGTTTTTCATTTATATTGCCTCAATTAAAATATGTCTCTTCACCCCTCTATATTTTGTGTGTCATCATGCATACACCATGTTCGGTAAAATGGCTCAATTAAAATAGTTTATATAATTCTAAACTTATGAACACCATGCTAGCTGCTTATATTAAAATAGTTATATAGTTTATTAAAATTGTTTTAGAAAATTTACAAACCAAACAATTTTTTTAGAAATTTTTTCCCAAAATTACTCTACAAATCCAAACCAAACATACCCATAATCTTATAAAAAACCATCGAAACATCTTTTTTTTCTTTTTTTTTTTTCTTTTTTGGCTTTTTTCGTTTTATGTGTGTCTCTTTGTATGCATTCACTATGTTCTGTAAAATGTCTCACATAGGTCTCTCAAATATTTTTCTAAAATGGGTCTCCAAAATGCCTCAAAATTTTTATTTGGGTTCACTATGTGATTTTTTGTTTTCGTCAGGTTGTATGAATCGTAGGTGAATCGGTGAACCAAATCGGTAAATCGTGAAGTGAATCAATTCGATTCGCTAAAATCGATGTTTGAATTTACTTTTTAGTTTTTTTATTGTTGGAAAAGGGTTCACACAACCCTTTTAAGGTCTTTAAGATTACTATATGCCATCTTTTGACTTTCTCCCCCCCCCCCCCTCTCCCCCCCTCTTTTGTTAGTTTTTCATATCTCTTTATCCCCTTAACATTATATTCATAAGTCAGTGGACCTTTGTTAGTTTTATTTATAGATTTATTTATTTTTGTTGTTGTTGTTGATGATGAAATATATATAAAATTAAGATGAATCTTCCTTTCGAATTCTGCAAATCCTTCAGCTCCTTCATCTGTGTTGGGCACACCCACCTTTTATTGTTGTAGTTTTCTGTCTTTTTTTTATTTTTTATTTTTTTTTATTTTATCAGGGAATTAGTTTTAGTATGAAAGACTTTTCTCCTAACATCAATGCACAATTTTTTTGTTGAGTTGGAGTGTTGTAGAGAAATTATCAATTCATGTAAGGCTGATGTTTTTATTCTTAATGCTTTGTACATGTGATGGAGGCATCAGAATCTGGTGAGGAGAATAGTTCTAAAGGCTCCATCAATAGAGGTAATCAAGATTCCATCCCTTTTTTTGCTTCTATTTTTTATTTTTTGTACATTCATGATGTTGTAAGTTAATGATTTAATCTTTTACTCGATTTCCATAGTTCAAAGACCAACTTCCTCATGTCACTTGGAATAAATTACAACCTATTTCCAGTTATTTTAATTAAATTTATTGTTATTCATTTCATTCTAAAGATTTCAGTATGGTTTGCAATAATTGAAGTTCAAAATAATTAGTTTTACCACTATATAATTTCTGCTACTACAATGTTCACCAAATGCTTGATAAATTGTTTCTCTATTTGATGTGTTTATTAATTCACAGGGAATGGAAGGTGAGGGAGAGATTAATCGAATGATCAAACTTTTGGTTGAGGAAAAAGTTCCCATTTGCTAAACTTTTGAACTGGGGTAAGGAAAAAGTTTTCCTTTGTTTGACTAGGTTGAGTTTATGAATTTATCTATTTTTTGGATAATGTTCTCTTTGCTAATTATTTTTATTATTATTTATTGTTTTTGGGAAACACCCAAAAAATTAGCAGTTTTTTTATTTTTTGTTTGCACTACTTCTAAATAGGTTGAATGCTCTCAGTTGGATCTCAGTTGTGAGTTTATGAAATCTTTCTTTTGAGATTGTGGTTTGAAGATTTTTGAAATGATGCTCCTTGCATTACGGTGCCAAAGATATCCGTGAAGGTTATCAAAGAAAGAGCATTTTTCTTGGTCAGTAAATCTCTCTTTTTCCCTCTATATGGATGTGTCTCTGAAACATTTTTTTTTATATATAGTAGTTTCTCATGTGAACCCCACGTGTTTGGATGCATAAAATATTTGCTATATAGATTAAAAAATAGAGAGGGTGTATGGGTGTGGGATGAGGGAGAGTAGAGATAGAGGGAGGCAAAAAGTGCAAATAAATGAATAAAATGGTGTGAGGCAAATTGCATCTTGAAAAGTTATCTACCTATGTGCTGAATTGCTGATAAAAAAAAAAAAAAAAACCTATGTGCTGAATTCCATGTCTCAAAAAGATTGACATTCTCAATTTTAGAAATTAAATATATTTGCTGAATCATTAGTGCTTGATGATTTTTGCTTTTGCAACTATTAAAGATAATGCTTGATGTTTTCAGATTGGTGTAATCCATAGACATATATGCTTGATTGGAGGGTTAGCTGATTGCCCAAAGAGGTGGCTTTGTTGATTAAGGTTTAGTTTCTTCTTTTTTTTTTTTTTTTGGTTTTTACTTTCTATTTTTCTCTTCCTTAGTGATTAGCAAGAGAGAAGTGTAATATGAAGAGTCTAAGACTTAAGCTTAGTAAAGTGAAATGAGTGTTGTAACTAACTAATACTACTGAGACTTGAGTGTAATATGTTCATGAGTTTGCTATTCATACATTTTATTTAACTAATTGATACATTTTTCTTGCTACATTTTGGGCTTTGATACACTTTAATTTTGCAGAATGGGAGTGAGTAGCAATGCATGATTTTTCTTTCCATGCCCTTTCTTTTTAAACATTACCTATCAATAGTTGACATGAGAGATGGTTTGTTAATATTGCAATCACTGAAATTATATTCTTTTTAAATTTTAGCCGAAGTTCAAATGAGACCAACTCTCCTCAATTAGAACAAGAAAGATTGATAGCTTGGATAAGTATAACAGTGATGGTATAAGAAATGAACAATTTTTCTCTGAAATTATTTTGTGAATAAATTTTTCACGTACTACATAAAAGATTGGACAGAAGAAGATTAATCCAACATTATTTTCACCGTACCTTTAGGCACGGGCATACACTAATATATATATAAATGATCTGATTCACGTGCCTTATAAAATGAACCCAATTTTCTTTAGGGGAAATGCCTGAGGCCTCGAATCTCAGGCCTCGAATCCCATTTTTTTTTCTTTTATTTTAATTTAAGACAGTTAGTTTGGTTTTTTTTTTTTCCTTTTCTTTTTGCAAGGATAGTTTATGTATAGGGATGTGCTAAAAAATTAGATATTCTGCAAGTGAGTTAGGTTGGACTGATTGAATGATAAAATTGACTGATTAATTTTTTTATTTTATTTTATTTTATTTATTGGGCTGTGTGATAAAATTGACTGACCAAAATTTGACTGATCAATTTATTAATTTTATATATTTTTATACGATGAGCTGGTACGAAATATTTAATTTTTTTGATACATCCTTACAGATAACCACCCTAAAAAAACAAAATAAACAAAAAAAATAACACACAAAGTCAAAAAAAGAAAAAAAAAAAAGCACTTTCGAGGCAAATTCGAGGCCTCGGATTGGAGGCCTCTATCAGTGCTCTTTTTTTAGCTAGTCCTCTTCTCTAATTAATCAACTAAAGAGAAATCTCTCTTCATCAATTTGTGTAGATGATCAATTATAAAATTGAAAAATGTTATTTATGTCTAAGATTTGTATAAGAAAATTTGAGAAGTGTATATACATATGTAATATTATGTTTTGGAAGTCGTATTTTGATTATAACTATTTTATTTATTTATTTTTTCCTTCATTTTTTTCATCTTATCAACAACTTTATGAGTTGTTATTAGCATAATAATATAAAATTAGGAAAAATAATGTGGTACCCTTGGGAAAATTCACATAATGTTTTTACTTGATTTTTATTGGTTAAGGCTTTGTTTGGAAAAATGTTATGTTAGTAATTTTTTGACTTTTTACGAAAAAATGTGTAAAAAAAATAAAGAGAGTGATGTGCCAACTTATAATAACTTTTTAATTTTTTCACTAAAATAATTACTCACCAAACAAAATCTAAATCTGTATTAATATTTTTTTGTTAGAATTTTAAAAAACGACTTGACAAGTATAAGTGATAAATAGCATAAAGTAATACTCTAAAACTAATAAATAATCACTAATAAATAATCATCAGGAAGGTCACCAATAATTGCACAAGTTTGATCTAATTATTGAATGAAGAGCTTTAAAATGCCCATACTGTTAGGTGAAGTACGAACCCAACACGCGTTAATTGAATTCACGCATGATTTTTAGTACTATGTAGAAAGGGGACAAAAAGTGAATTGATAGGTTGATTGGACAATATAGTACGAAAAATTATAATATATTTTTACATAAAAATTATATAAAAAAATTAATAAAAGTGATATGACAATATCATTACTATAAATAAATTCATATTCAATAATATTGGCCTTGTTTGGTTTGTGTTTCCTAAAAATTTTTGGGAAAAATTCTCTACAAATAAGTTTTCAAAAGTAATCAAACTAAACAAATTTTTTTAAAAAAATTTCCCAAAACTTGTTTGGTTTACAAGTTTTCCAAATAAATTTTTCTCTCATATACATCAAATCAATCACTTTTTCCAAAACTCTCTCTCAAAATAATTTTCCAAAATATTTTTTATAAAAAACCAAACGAAACAACTTTTCGTACTTTTTATCTCTAAAACTCATCTCCCAAACTCAAACCAAACATACCCATTATATTTTAAAGTGAAAGATTTATAATGAGTTTATAAAAAAATATACATATACATGTATAAATTTTTATTTATATATCATTACTCATATAATATTGTATTGAAACCACTTTAACAAACGACAATATATATATATATATATATATATATATATTTGTAGAGACATATGTCTTATTTGGTTTGTATTTGTAGAGTAGTTTTTGAGATAAAAAGTACGAAAACTTGTTTAATTTGTTTTTTTTCAAAAATGGTTTTGAAAAATTATTTTGGAGAGAGAGTTTTGAAGAAAGTGATTGATTTGATGTGTATGAGAGAGAGTGATTTTGAAAAGTAGGTAACCAAACAAAATTTTGAGATTTTTTCGAAAAAATTTGTTTGATTTGATTATTTTTGAAAATTTGTTTGTAGAGAATTTTTTTCAAAAATTTTTCTGAAAAACAAACCAAACAAGGCAATAATGTTAGGGTTGTACACGTGGCCGAGGTTGTTAGCCGAGAACCTCGGCCACGTGCCACATGGATGGACTGAGATGCCAACATATGATGCTATCATATCGGAATCTAAGATATTCAAACGAAGGACAAGAGTCCCAAATGATATCAAACTACATGTTTAGATAGAGATGAGACTTTTGGAAAAGTTTTTCTTAATCCGAATAGTAGGGTTGTGCAAAATACTGCCAAATCTGCTAAAATTGCATCGATCCACATCAATTCACATCGCTCCATCCATTAACTGCAGATTAAACTTTATAATTTATAATCTGCTTTTCCAAATCGTTCTGCTCCACTATAGTTAATACATAAATGTTTGTTAACCTCCAATGAAATATTAAAGTAAAAACGAATGTGAGAAAGATTTAAGATGTGAAATTTATTACAAATTAGTAGTTATATATGAAACATATTATGTAAAATTACTTTGTGCTATATATGTATATATTATGCAAATTAGCATTATATATTATAAAAATGTTTAATAATTGGTTAGATTATTCTTTAATCCTCCAATCCACCTAAAACCGCCCAAACCGTGATTTACCAATCTGCCAATTCACCAATCGGCCATTTGATTTCTAATTTTACTCTCAAACTGCTCGAACCACACTGCATACACCCCTAAATACGAGTAGTGATAGATGTTATCCTTGTAAATGATAGAATCCTACAAAGTGATACTTCTATAGGACAAAGGCACTACGGACTATAAAAGTAAGGCCCCCATGTGGGTTTAAAGTATGCTTTTTTGGTGAATTGTTTACTTGTGTAGATATCTTTGAGACATGAGTTGACTGATTTGATCGTCGGAGTGCTCTCGGGTAGACGAGCCACCATGGTGTTTATTGTTTTGTTGTGTGTAGGTGATGGGCTCTTCTATTCTTCTGTATGCTCTATGACTAAGTTCGTTAGATCTCAGTTGGGAGATCTAGTTTGGTTCTGAGGTCACAAATCAACACTCACAATTTGGCATCGTCTGTATGAACTTAATCAGAATAGATGGCCAACATCGAACAAAGAGAACGAGTTGGAGACGACATAATCAGTGAGGAAGAGGAGCATGCCAATCTTGGCGGTAGAGGAGAAGAGGAAGAGGTTGTGAAGAAATACATGAGGCAAATCCAGAAGTGAATAATGCCACCAAAGGTTGCAATGGCCTGATGTGACATGTAATGCCCCAAAATATATAACATCTTATGAGTACAACAATCAACGTTCATTATGAGAAAGGATGCAATTCCTCAACCTTTACATCATTAATCAATAAGGTTTGTACAAAATAGTCCCACATGCGAATTATACTTTCAATGATATCAAATACATGAATTTATAGCATGTAAAACATCAAATTCAAAAGTAAATAAAATGCCCTCAAGGGCTTACAAATTCCATGGCTTAAGCCTGGTTACAAAAAAATGGTTTCATGAACACATACATTTATAGCCATTGGCTTGCAAAAAGAACCACAACAAAATAAGAGTCATTGCTCTCCACAAAATACGTCCACGCCCTTAATTCGGTGGGATCACCACATCTTTTCCTACACCAAAATTCCATAGGGGTGAGTTTAAAGCCCAGTAGAGAATTCTTAATAAGGTATATACATTTATGCAAGATTCCTAATATGAAATGTACATGCCATGCTATGCCTTTTAAAAAAAGATTACATTTACGTCTTTTGAGAACCATCATGTTCAATAATAACTTGAAATGTCAACAATTCAGGAATTTACAATTTAATTCAATGGGGTGGTAAATACGACTCAGGTAATCCCTAGGTTGGTGTCTGCAAGTAGGCTTAACTAACACTACCAAAACCCTACTTTACCAGTTGCTAACCGGAAGGAAAGTGGTACCTTCTCCACGCGTGTTTTCAGTGTTTCATCTCGGACACTCTGGCCAACTTAATCAATTTCATCTACACCTCCTATCTGGACCTGCCAACGTATTTACCCCAAAACATTTCAATAATAAGTTTGTTCACAATATTCTTTTCTCAATGAAAAGTTTCCAACTCAATTTAAGAAGCGTAATAATCAATTGAATGAACATGTAAATGCAAAAATTCACCAATGCTAGATAACATTTCTCCATTTTCAATTATTTCAACAATAATTTCATATGAAAAC